GGGTACAATTTGACATAAAAAAAACTTTTATCCAACTGGTGGAATCAATTTAATCACTTCTTGAGAATGGAGTGTTGTATATTTTATCAAGAAATTAATAAGAATTAACATTGACGGCGACAATTTAATTGGTAGCGCTAGGTGGCGTTGTCATCTTACTTTAGACGAATCAATAATCGATAGGTTTCAAAATATTTACTAATCATTTCTTGCACTATTGATTAAATGAAATTTAAAAAAATAATAAGGAATAACACGGAATAAAACATTTTCGTCTCTGATAAAGATTTGATTATCAGGAATTTGCATGAAACATTTAATATGTGTAATGCAATATTTATTTATGCAAAGAGTTAAATTTACATTTTAACCTTATTTACTTTAAAGCCATTATTAATTATACCAGTATAAAAAAGCATAAATTTATTATATTTTTTATATAAATACCAAATTAATTATAAATCTAAAAATATTGCACAAAGTACCGACTATAACATGAAAAAAAGCATTTTTTTTTAAATTTTATTAAACTACGATATAATAAAAACATCAACGTTCGGTAGTTTATTTGAGTTCGAACAGACCTATGACACTCCCTGGGCGGGAAAAAGACGCGCATGTTTTACTGCGCTGACGTTTTCGGGATATGATCTATCACTTGTCATAAAGCCGATTAAAAACTCGCTACCATGCGCAGGCAACTCTTATTTCGTACACAAATAGAAATTTTTGTTTACATTTTATCGAAGTAGTTTTTGTAATACATTCACAGCTTGAAAACGGAAAATTCGTTAATTTAATAGTGGATTGAAATACCCCAAATACACTTCAGTGTGTGTTTTATCCTTATTGTTACGTATTATTGCTCGTTTTATTTAAGGACATTGGAATAAATAGAGTACTAGAAGTAATCAAGCTAAAAAGGTGTGTTTTAAAAAGAAAATACATTGCATTCGACTGATTTAAGTTTAATATGTTTTCGTGAAGTATTTCCAACATGCTAGTTACTTGAATGGTTGTAAATTGTAAGTGTATAAGTGATAGAAACTGATCTAGTGCTTTGTGCTTCTTTGTTTTTTTTTGTTGGTGTCCCAGCACAGTATTCCTAGCCAGCAGTAGTAGCAAAAACATTAACATTGTCTACCTTCAACCCATTTACATGTACATGATTTATCAACTAAAAGCAGAATACAATATTTCTCTGCAAAATGTAAACAACGCTACAAGGAAAATTGCTCATATATAAATTCAACAATTAAATCAAAATATAATATTTTTAAAGGACTTATATCAACTATTATGTTAATTATAAATATTTGTAACCAAATAATAGTTGTGTATTAATAAACCTGTTGCTACTCCGAAGAATATATTGTTTATTGTTATCAGGTATTAAAAATATGTGTACCTATAGAAATTTGTTGAAATATGTTCTATTGCTCTTAATATTTTTAATAGGTTCTTATTATGGTTGGAAATAAAAATCAACATTTTTTTATCCATCTATTTAACACTTATAAACATGAAAATTTTAGGTTGTAAGGATCCGTACCCTCTTAATTTTTTTACATTAGACACAAGTCCTGTGATGTTACACTAAATCGTGAATATGAGGTAAAGTTACAAAGCCTACACAGAACACGAGGCTAATAACCGTAGCAGTTGATGAAAAAAATAACGAACAGTTTAGATGAAAAGTAAAAAGCAACGTTTTTTCCCGAGAACATTAAAAAAATGGTATTGATAGGTGGGATTTTTCATGATCGCTTCTCCCTCCTGGAGGTAGGTCCTAGAGGTCCTAATCCGACACGACTTCTAATCGCAAATAGTTTGAATCTTATAGAATCAGATTGCAGATGTGATTACGAAGAATAATTTCAGAAATTTGCATTCAATATTGTAATTATTCATCATAAATTTTACTGATTTAAAAATAAAGTTAAGTTGTGGATATTAAAAACTGATAGAACTGTATTTAGCAATATCGTTAATAATGATTAATAAATATTTTTATAGGTACCCTAAAAATATAATTACTAACCATAGCATTATCTATCTATCTATCTATCTATCTATCTATCTTCTTTTTTTTTTTTTTTTTTTTTTTTTTTTTTTTTTTTTTTTTTTTTTTTTTTTTTTGGAGGAGGAATCTTCTAAAGACGCCGCTGTTTCCGTGAACAGCGGGAGTGTAGGATTCCAGCAGACGCGCATGCCTACCCACTAAACCTCCCCCTTTTCGCCAAGCAGGTATCCTGGGACTGTCGTTAGACATTACTTCAGAATACCGGGCTGTCCTTTTTCTTTAATATCTGTGTTTTGTCTGTATTTCATCATTGGAACTGCCTTTCCTCCTCTTCTTTTATTTTCATAACTAGTTTTATAAATGTGTGTATTTTCTTCCATTTTTTTACGTTTTCTGTCATTTCCCTTGTAACAGTTTCCACTTCCAATCTGCTTCCGTAGTCTATTTCAAATTGTAACCGTTCTCTTTCCCATCTCTTGCAGACAAAGACTGTATGAGCAGGACTATTGACCTCTCCGCAGTAAAGACATATCTCATCTGTCGCTTTCCCTATACGAAATGTGTATGTTCGGAATGAACCATGTCCCGTGAAAAACTGAGTTAGGTAATACTCTGTCATTTTATGTCGACATTCCAGCCACGATTTGATGTCTGGGATTAATGTTTTGGTCCATTGTGCCACATCTCTTGTATTATCCCACCGTTGTTGCCATTGAGTAACTGATCTAGCCCTCGCACGAGACTTAGCTTCTTCTAGTATATCACGATCAATATCGTGTGTGCGTATTCGCTCCTCAATCAGTAGGTCTATAGGCAGTACGCCGGCGAGAACTTGTAGAGCTTTTGTCGAGGTCGTTCTGTAAGCTGATGTAACTCTCAGCAATGTCTTCCTTTGGATTGTTTCCACCATTCTCCTGTATTTTTTTTGATGCATTGCGTTTCTCCATACCGGTGCCCCATAGAGGACTATTGATTGAACAACTCCTGCTAGGACTTTCCGTTTTTCCGATGATGGTCCTCCTATATTTGGCAATATTTTTATTAGATTTGTTATGCTTTCGTCTGCTCTTTTAACTGTGCGTTTAATGTGTTCGGTAAAATTCAGTTTCTCATCTAACCAGATACCTAAATATTTAACCTGCTTTTGAGGGACGATCACAAGACCGTCGATCATAAAACTGATATTTTCCCTTGCTCTAGGACCTTTTATAATTACCGCCTCTGTCTTATGAGGGGCTAGGTTCAGGAAATTGTCATCCATCCACCTCTGAATTGTCCTCATCGATATATCAGCAGCTAGAGATAAATTTTTTTTAGTCTCCGATTCTACCAGCACCGCCAGATCGTCTGCGTATGCAATAGTTTTGCAATTCTCCGGTAACTCGATGTGTAGAACGCCGTCGTACAATACGTTCCAGAGGGTTGGTCCAAGGACCGAGCCCTGCGGAACCCCCATTGAGACTCCTAAGACGTTTTGTTCGTTAAGTTCAATTGCTCTTCCACAAAAGTAGTTCTCAATGATATTCACTAAATAACCACTGATGCCCAGGCCTTTCAATCTAGCTACTATTAGACTCCACCTAGCTGTGTTAAATGCATTCTTGACATCCAGTAATATAAGCACACACCATTTCTTGTTGGATCGCATAACCGCGTCTGTCAACCACATGATGGCCTGAATTGTGGACCGACCCTTGCGGAAGCCGAACTGAGTTTCTGATAGACCTCTGGTAATCTCCAGCTCCTTCATAATCCGTTCTCTGATTAATGCTTCATATAGTTTTCCCATCGTATCTAATAAACATATTGGCCTATATGATAAAGCACTTTCCATGTTGTCCGTTTTAGCCTTAGGAATTAGCACCACTCTTGCGCGTTTCCATTGCGGAGGAAATCGCTGGAGTTCAAGCAAGTTATTCATTAACTTAAGCATTACATAAGGGGCAGCTTTTACTGCTTCTTTAACGGTTTCTGGACGAATATTGTCTATACCTGCAGCTTTTCCCGCTTTCAGGCTGTTACTTGCAGTTGTCAATTCATCAAGTGAGAAAGGAGTAACTTCCTGGATTACGTTGTTTCTGTCCCATATATCTATTTCATTTGGAAAAAGCTCCGATATAATTTCCATTTTCCTTTCTTTACTTATATTGTAAGGCACCGCTTGAACTTTTAAATGTCTCATAACCAGCTTGTACCCTTGTCCCCAGATATCCTGTTCTAATTCATTACAGAGTTCTTTCCACAGTTCCCTTTTTGAGGTATTTATCAGTCGTTTTAGCTCTTTCCTAACGATCCTATATTCCAGTTGTAGCCCCTCAGTTTCGTCATCCTGGTTTCTTCTTGATCTTGTTAGCCTGCGTCTAATCGCGTTACATTGACTTCTTTTTAACTCTATGTCACTATTCCACCAGTAGGGCATCTCTCGTGTGTTATTTCTAGGCCTTAGCTCGCAGTTTGCTTGGGTATTCTTGAGAATGCAGGTAATTGCATTTATGTCCGGTGCGGGGGGTTCATGTAGTTTAACTTGAAGTGCCTCTTTTTGTTTGGACTTGTCTAATGTCTTTTTGCCGCTTCTACTTTTCTGAAGTTTGGTTTGTTTGGATGTCATAATATCAAAGATTATATATCTATGGAGGCTTAGTGATTCTTCAGTCAATGTCCGCCAGTTCTGGATTTGTTTTGTAATTTTATTGGTAGCCATGGTCACATCAATAAAACTTTTGCTTTCGGCCCTGACGAAAGTAGGTATATTTCCTCTATTGATGACTGCAAGATTTAGAGTGGCAATCCATTCTGCTATGTATGCGCCCCGCGCGTCTTCAGTTGGAGATCCCCATAATGAAGATTTTGCGTTAAAGTTTCCCAATATAATAGCCTCTCTATGCTGAGCCATGATGCGTTCCATAATGTTATCAATATCCTTTTTATATATATCGTTGGTAATATTAGGAGAAATATAACAGCAGTATATATCAAATTTTTTTAAACGTAAACATACAGCTCCATTAAGTTTGGTAAAACCTGTAACTCCTATGTTTTTATTGCGACAAAAAACTCCTACATCCTCCCTATTATCTCCGATCCATGCAGCTTTTTTAAGAATATTCTTATTGGGTTCGCTAATTAGGATTAAGTCGATGTTTTCCTTGTCTGCGGTAGCAAACGCTAGATCATGTGCAGCTCGCGCCCTTCCGAGATTTACCTGCAGCGCCTTTAAAGTGATGGCGTCATCCATTTCTAAAATTTAGTTAGATTTAGCCATAGGCCCTCTCCTCTTATTTACCCCTGCGGATTTTTCCTCTATTAACGCCCTAAATGCAGGACATTTTATTTGATCGTTTCTGTGGCCCTCTATCTTACATGTCAAACAATAAGGGTTTTCTTTACAATCACTTGCCTTATGGGACTCTTTACCGCAGTTTCTACACAGATTCGCTTTATCTTCGCCCTTACACTCTTTCGTGTGATGTCCATATTCTAGACATCTATAGCACCTCATAAAGGAATAACGTTCTCTTAGGCGGCAGTTTATCCAGCCTATTTTTATCCTGCCATCATGTGTAATTCTCTTTGCGAGGTCCTTTCCTTGTACAGCTACCGTGGCAGCTTGTCCCCCGTTTCGGTTCGGTCTAAGTGACTTTACAGTTACAAATTTTTTATTTTCAGGGCCTATTACTCTCGCTATTGATTCCAGGATTTCTTCGGCTTGCGTAATCGCGTCTAGGTCATTAATATGTATCAGTGTTTCTTGCTTGTGCACTCTTATTTCGGTCGCATTCACTTTTTTTTGAATCTCGTCCTTAAGGATATTTGCTTCATTTTTGCCACCTTCAAGCTCGAACATCAGATCACCTTTTGCAGTCTTTTTAATATTTCTTATATTGAGTCCCATGTTGTTTACATTGACTTTGTTTTTAATGTCTCTTAACATATCTGCGTATGATTTACCTTCGCACTTAACAACCATCCTTTCCGGTCCAGGTCTGAAGGTTCGCTTGGTTGGTTCCTTCGGTATTGTTCCCATCATTATAACATCCATGTTGCTACCACCGAAAACATATTCAAAAATTTTTCTAGGATTCTCATTTTGCATACCGCCGTTGATGACCACGTGGATGCTGCTGGTCGGATGAATTTCCATAGCGTCTTTTAAGCTTCTCACCTGTGTATATAGTTTCTCTAAACTTTTTGTTTCTTCGTCTATCGTTCCCCATGGTACAGTGTACACAGCACGGACTTTTTCAGATTCTTCCTTGTTTTTATTAATGGTTTTGGTTGAATTTAGGATAAAATCAACTTTGTCGTCACTTTCTTTAATTAAGTTGGCTAACTCAGGGAGAATCAGCTCTAGCGTTCCCATCGTTTTGTCCATTTTTAAGTTCTGCGGGTCTACAATTACAGCAATGTCACCTTCTTTATTGAGCGAAGATACGTTTGTGTCGTCTATTTTTGTACACTTAAATACTTCTTCTGGCCAGGCTTCCTTTAATACTTGAGAGATTTCATTAAATCCCTTATCTTCCCTAAGAGTGTCTTTTATTGTTGCAATCATGACGTTTTTAGAAATTTCTAGTTCCTTTTCCAGTTCACTTTCTGTTACTTGAGTGCCAATTGTTGACATCTCTCTTTTTGGCATAGATTCTACTTGTTTTTCGGGGCATGATTTTTTAGCCTGCATACCAGCATTTTCTATACAGTCAGTAGCTTCGTCGAGCCACGTTTTAAATTCCTCGTTCTGTAGTTCTCTAGCACAGAGGCTCATAGTTCTAGAAATATCACATATTTCTTTTTTAGGTTTATACGCTCCTTTTACTACTACGTTAAGAAGATTTATCTGTTTAAATAACCTTTCCAAGTGTTTTTTAAATACTTCCCCACTCCTTTTATTGTCTTTTCTATCCTTGTCCGGTGTGATGTCTGCTCTCTTTCTTTTCTGGTGCTGTTCTATCTCCTCTGACTCTTCAACAAGCTTCTTAGCTATGTCCGAGTCAAAATCTGGTACCGAGGTAGACCTCGATCTAGTTGGGTTCTCCGCCAAAATGTCCGTTATGTTTGAAAATTCCTCACTTGGAAATTCTTCACCGCCTCCTGAGGCCTCCTGATCTCTGTCCAGAGGAGGAGTTCTTTTTAAGGAGTCTCTTCTTTTGAAGGGATCCGAATCATTCGCCTCTTCGTTTTTTTTTGGTTCTACTTGTGTTTGCTCTAGTTTCTCCATATATATCCCACGAGTAGCTAGGGAAATAAGGGTCCATCCCTGCAGAGCCCCGCTTGCAGGGATAAGTCTTCTTACTCCGGGACGTCGACTGGTATCCCGAAGGCTCCGTTTGTGACCACCTCCGCGTGGCCATTCACGATTCGGCACGGGTCGCGTAACACCTTGGGTTTCGGATTTTTTAACGCTGGTTTTCTCCATCGAGTTTTCTGTTGGGGTTTCTGTCCCTTAGCCGTCGGTCCCCGTTTTGTGGCGCCGGGAACTCGCCATTCGCCCTCCCGTTTCAGGGTCGGACTTGCCGGTTTGCCTTGTTAGCGGGGCAGATGTTCTTCAACTGGTATTTGTTGGTGTCACCTAGTCGGCATCAGTGACCCCACCAGTGCCCAACCGGCCATTTTGAGCTGTTTCTCGGCTTCGCTACCCATTCCCGTCCCGTTGGGCTCGAGAACGGAGAGCTACTGAGCCACTCCACCACGGCAAGGTCTTACAGCTCCTAGGAGTGGATCTATCTATCTATCTATCTATCTATCTATCTATCTGTCTATCTATCTATATATATATCTATCTTTTTTTTTTTTTTTTTTTTTTTTTTTTTTTTTTTTTTTTTTTTTTTTTTGGGTGAGGAATATTTTATATGCCGGCCCCTGCGCTTGGGACACCAGGGCTCTCTGTGTGCAAGTCCCTGTTTACCCACTAAACCTCACCTCATATCCCTACCTTCCTTTTCTGGAACCGCTCTCGCATTACTTCGGAAAAGGAGGTTGTCTCTGGTATCTGGTTTTCTCAGTGTATACTGCCTTCTTCTTTTGTCTCGAGAATCGATTGGACTGTACTGTAGACTGCTTTCCATCCTGCTTTAGAATCCAGTAAGCTGACTGTCAAATTTTCTGGGTTAAAGGTATATCCCATTGCATCTTCGAATAGTCTTCGTTGATGTTCCCACTTAGAGCATATAAATAGGGTGTGTTCCGCATCATCTATTTCTTGGCAGTAATCTATCTATCTATCTATCTATCTATCTATATATCTATCTGAATTAGGGCGTAGTTCAAAGCCCACTCGTACTGAAGCTCTAGGCTTATTGTACCCCTCACAGTTTCTACCACATCAGATTAATTTTCTTAATGAATTAAAGAATATGTATGATGGGCGCTTTCGCGATTTCTTTAGGTTTCAGATATTGTACCCCGAAGTACCATTCCCGTTCCCATTTAAAGTTCCGACAGTGGCATAATATGTGAACAGGAGTTTCATTCTCCACTTTGTTCTGTACACAAATGCCCTACCTTTCTTTTATTTTTTATAGGTACCCTAAAAATATAATTACTAACCATAGAATTAACTTGTTGCTGATTGTTTTAGCCTTTGGTTTGACGGGTGCATATCGCAGCGATAAACTCTGGAAATTAAAAATTGTTGATTTAGAAGATTTACAATCCGCTTTATTGGCTTACATTCCAACAACAAATACCCAAAGATCACGAGCATTTACTGTTGTTAAAGAAATTTTTAATTTATATTAAAAATACGTTTGGCTGAATATATCATATTTTACATACATTTTGTATTGTCTAGAAAACCGTGATCTTAGAAAAAAAATGGTATGCAACATGTGCGCAACGCACTTTTCTCACTCTCTTGATATGTGGCACAAACTTTTGTGCTCATGGGAAAAGAATCGCTTTGCGCACTTGTTACACAAACTACTATTATTCAACTGGTCGAATCAATTTCGTTTTCTTAGAATTAACATTGACAGCGCCGACTTAATTAAGATGATTATTTTTAACTCTATAATATATCACCCAATGACAATCCAATCACCTTTTATTCCAACACACGCCAATCAAAACAAGCCGTATCTGAATATACTGCATGCTGCCTTAATTAAGTAGTTTTACTTAAAAATGGGAAATAAATAGCAGTTATTTTTGAATGAGTAAAATTTCTGGTCCTTGGTTAATATTCTCAGAAGCTTTATGAAATGATTCGTATTGGAAAATAAGCACTTACTGGTACAAATTTTTAAATAAACACAATCTAGTAATTTTATAAACGGATTATTGAATATATTATGCTTTTAGTATACAGGGAGTATAGTGGATACGCGGCTGCTTTGTCTAGAAATATAAAAGTACTTTGAATTTTCTAGAAGGCAAAAATATAGAAACACAGTAAAAATATAAAAACATTATTTGAGAACTATCTAGAAATAAAAGAAAAATACAAAAATGTATTTTTAAATTATTTATTGAATTTATTATAAGTATTTATTCATTCATTTTTGATAGTACCGTAGCGTTTAATGTTTCGAGAAATACGGTTTACACCATCCTTGTTCACATGTGAACCCCTTCACACAATCTTTTTGGCTCTTGCAACGAGTAGGGTCAGCTGAAAAAATATTAATAATTAAATGACCGCTTGAATTATGTCATTTATTTAACTTATTAAAAGTAAAATAAAATTATTGTTCTAGTTTCTAGAGAGTTGTAGTTGTAGATGTATAAAGACAGATTGAAAAGGAATGTAGGTAATCAATTTTTAAACGGTTTAACTTAAAAATAATTAGTCGGGTGTTTTCAGCATTAAACTATTATTATAAGGACTCTATAAATGATTAAAGAAATTAGAAACAAAAACAATATATTTTTAAATTATTAACTTATCTATCGAAAAAAACCAAGATGTAAAAAACGCCATTAAGGTTTAATGCAGCATTTCTTAAAAATAAACAAACTGTAGTGGATTAAAAAAATTGAACTAATAGGGATAGTTAAACATCTCAGAAACTTGACCTGATATTTTAGATTTAAAAATTTTCTTAGATTGAACAATTCAATTAAAAAAATGGCACTAATTTACAAAAAGAACAAAATAAGATAGAGTAGTCGTTTTAGTTTTATCTTACCATTTGCTATCCCATTAGCACTGAAAACAATAGATAATAATAGAATTAAAAAATATACTGAACAATATTTCATGTCTTTACACTTGTATTAAAAAAGTTTTTCAGTTTGAAAGTATTTTTGATGATGAGGGTTTATTTATTTATTTATTTATTTATATAGGTATATTAAGTAATTATTATTCGCAAGATTTGTGATTACTGTTTAACTATTTTGCATAGGTGAAATTTTAATTTATTTATACAATTAGGCAAGGAATTTTCATTATTTATTTGGTTATTCAACAGAAATTTAAGAACGGGACAATCCTGTTTATTAAAACCATATGTGTAGATCAAAAGTTAAATCGACTGATTTCCGAATATATACTATTTAAAAATCTAATTTTTGGCCAAAAAAAGGTCTGACTTATAACTGATAAATTTATTATTTTCAATAAAAACAACTCCATTTTATTTAATCTCAAATGTGTTAAAAGTGTGCTTAAAATTATTTTAACCTCAATTTCAAACAAATAAGGAAACATAAATAGTGTGGGTAAATTGTTCGCAGTAACATAGCCCAAAAAAAGAAAAGAAGAAGAACATAAATAGTAAGATGACCTAAGTGCAACGTTTACCTACAATTTAGTTCACTCAGTATATTAAAATATTGCATATTTTCCAAAATCAGTCAATTTGAAATTTATAAGTCATTTTCTTTGGAAAGCTATGACAAATCAAATAAAATTGCTATTTAGACACAAAATTGCGTCTAAGTCAAATTAAAATTTTGATCGATACATTAGTTCATACACAGTACTAAAGATGGTGCTATAAATGTAGTAATTATTTTGGCGTTTTCCAGTGAACTGTTTCAGTGCGTTCTGAGCTCCGAGCAATTCCTCGGAGGTTCTGAGTGTATTCTAACTTTCCTCTTCTCCATATCGATGAACAAGGACACAAATATGCTCGGTGAATACCAATGAACTGGAGTGGGGTAGAATGCTTGTCAATAGGCTTGAAATGCGACTCTATGGGCGAAGACAGGTTATTTTTCATCTCACTCGGAAGTATTTATAACAACCATTTTCTATTTCACTTTGTTATTGTTTGATCCACCATTGAACAACAACAATGTGAAACAGGAAATGGTTATTTTAAATACTCCCGAGTGAGATGAGAAATAAAAATGGCTGCGCCCATAGAGTCGCATCTTGTTCTATTGATACAATATGCACATTTCCCTTCTACCCCACTCCAGTTCATTGGTGAATACTGCCAGTTTCATTAAAAAACGCTATTAACATTCGTTATTAAATATAACGTTGTATGAAAATATTCTAGTAGGATAACCTATGAAGACTAGAGAGAAGGAGGCGAATCGGCAATAGTCAAATTTCAAATTTCCGTCCTTCTTTTTATAAAGTTCGCGAAATTGACCGTAGTCGGCATGTTTAATGAGAGCGCAGTCTATTTTCTACGTAAGTCAATGTAAAATAAAGTGTTTTTTTAAAAAATTGATTAAAATAATTAAAATAATGTGAAAAAAAGTACCTGAGTACAATTAACATGAGTGACAAAAAACATCAAAGCAAGATTTACGTCGTTTCAGATTGTAAAACAGGATAAAAATCAAATGTAAAACTGAAGAAAACACAAGAAGAAATCAATTTAATGTCTTTTTAAAGCTTTTAATGTAAGTAAAATAATGTATTCATATCTAAATATAATATTTATTGTAAACTAGTCACAATATGTATCTTACGAAGTGTAGTTTATTTTATTATAAGTTTCTATAATATAAAATTTTACAGTTATAGATGCTGACTTACAAACAACAATAATTATGCATTAAATTTAATTTACCAGAAAAGAAAATTTATTTTTTATAGAGTCTTAATGTTAGATAAAGAGTTGCTACTATTATTTTTTTTTTGGATCTCAATTGTGTCATTGTAAATGTTTTTTTAAGGATACTAAACGTTTAGAACAGTGGCAGCATATATATCGTTCCTAGTGCCGATAAAGCACTTTCTAGAGAAGATGCTGTTTTATACTTTTTAGAAGATATCAAATATTATGAGACTGTTTTTACTGATGATACTGTTAGCAAAATAAAAAGGGGAAAGCTGAAATTAAAGGATGAGGTAATATCATGTACATTCCCAAATCTCCCTTTATACTTGTATTACAACAATAAAAAATCGGTTAACTGTGTTTTATTTTACTCTTAAAACCTATATATTGGTTCAATTAAAAAAAAATTGCCACAAAATTGTACTTATCAAATTTCAGCAATTAAAAAACCTTCTCGAATTTGGTCATACATACCTAATTTGTATTTAATATAGATAAAATTAAATTATTTATCAATTAAAACATGCAAGACTTATTTAGAAATAAATACAACAGTATGTTATGTGCTTTATTTAGCTGTAAACAAGTTTATTTTTATTATTTTGACAAAATTATGTATAATTCTCCTAAGACGCCATGTATTTTAAACAACGTATGCAGTACCAGCGCCCATGCCGTTAATTATAGAAGCTCAATTAGCAT